AAAATTGTACTACTAAACTTCTTAAATATAAAACAAGATTATAATGTACTCTGATAATACAGCTAGCTCTCAGAAGCAAACACACTTCTATCATTTAAAAAACTCTTCTTACACATATGTATGTCTGAGTTTGAAATTATACACTTTCATTTATGTTCATAACCTAATATTCCTCTCTGATACATGAGCTTTTGTAGCTCTTTTACCTTTTTTTTTTTTTTTTTTTTTTTTTTGATGCCAGGAATCAAACTCAGGACCTTGCACTTGTCAGGCAGGTGTTGTGCTGCTGAGCTATATCCCTGGCCCCTTCATTTTTTGAAATAAGAGAAAAGTTATGAGAAATGTTTTTTATTTTAAATTTAAATTAAAAATTTATTCTCATGTAATAGAAAAGGTGGGTTTTGGTTACTTCACTTAAAATGACATTCCTACCACTTAGTCTTTATCTTTTGTGACCTTTTGGCCTGTGTAACTTACTTGCCAGACACCAAAATGAGACAGAAATATTTAAGTTTCTTCAATTGTTGCAGTTCTCATGCAAAAAGCGTTAATGTTACTCAGATCTTCTGAAGCCAGGTGTGGCGGTGCACGCCTGTAATGCCAGCACTCAGGAAGCTGAGGCAGGAGGATCGTTGAGAGTTTGAGAACAGCCTGGGCTACAAAGTGAGCTCAAGGCCAGCCCGAACTGCGTAGCCAGACCCTGTCTCAAAAAAGACAAAAGAAAAAAAAGAGATGCTCTGTTTCCTGTCTTCATGAGCATAAATGGATAACCTAAAGCCTAAAGAAAGTTCAGTTCGAGCCCTTATGCTTATGCCTGTAATCCCAGCACTTGGGAGGCAGGAGGATCATAAGCTAAAGTTCTACCCAGACAGTTCAGCAAGACCTTCTCACAAAATAAAAGGCCTGGGGATGTAGCTCCGTGGGAAGGCTCTGGATTCAGTCCCCAGTATTGGGAATTTACCTTAGCCCTAACTGTGCTCCCCACCTCTGCTTTTCTTGTGTGTGTCATGGTGGGAATTAAACCCACGTTAGGCAAGTGCTGTACCGTTGAGCTACGTTCTTAGCCCTTTTTGGTTTTAATTTTGAGACAGAGTCTCACCACGTTACCCAGGTGCTTCTCAAATTTATTATTATTATTGTCATTATCATTATTATTATTATTATTATATTATTTTGGTACTCAGGACCGTGTGTTTGCCGAGCAGGCACTGTGCTGCTGAGCTGTATATCCCTGGCACCTTTAAAATTTATGATACTCCTGCCTTGGTTTCTCATGTAGCTGGGATTGTAGGTGTGCTTCAGTGTGCCCAGGTCTGTGTCCCCATTTCTACCAAATACGTGAACCCCCAAAGGACTAACTTCAGAATTTATGTGTGTACATTAACCCTTACAATTGTAGTCTCTAGTTTGTGCCATTCTTTCATGCTGGGATCTAAGGTAAGAAACCCGTCTGACATACTATCCAGTTTCCTACCCAGAACACATATAATTAGAAACACCATAACAAGTTCATAAAGTGATGTTGCACCTTTCTGTGTGTAATACACCTTCGTATCTTTCATTTTTTACAAATGCTGATGGCAAGCCACCACATTGATTTTTTGACCCTATTAATGGGTTTCAGGCAACAGGTATATTTTGCACAAAAATTTTTTGTTAGGATGCTAGGGATTGAATTCAAGGCTTTGTGCATGCTGGGCAAGGATTTTATATCCGCAGCCCTCAGGCAGTAGTTTTAGAAACTGTGCTGGTTGCTGCCCTTGGCTGTATACCTGGATTACTTTAAATGTTCGTTAAAACTACACATTTGGGGGCCAGGAATATAGCTCAGTGGCATAGCGCCTGCCTGGCAAGTGCTAGGTTCTATGTTCGATTACTGGTACCAAAAAATAAATAAAATTACACAGTTGGCCTGGAAATGTAGCTTAGTGGTAGAGCACTTACCTAGTGGAGGCAAGGCCCTGGGTTCAGTATCTAGTACCACTTCACTCAGCCCTGTGAGTCTAAAGTCTTAGAACTATGTCTGTGAAAAGAGTATTTTAAAAAAATCTCTGTGCAGGCTTTTGCTTTCAACCTGTGTGTATAATAAGTGGTAAATAAATGTGAATTAATAAATTTAAAACATAGCCCAGAACATACCTATTATTTTAAATAAATTTCCTTTCTTTTATTGCAGGGATACACCAACATCAGCCGGACCAAACTCTTTCAATAAAGGAAAGCATGGGTTTTCTGATAACCAGAAGCTATGGGAACGAAATATAAAATCTCATCTTGGAAATGTCCATGACCAAGACAATTAAATGATGTGTTTTGAGTTAGGGTGTGGGGTGGGTGTAAAGTTAAACGGAACAGTTTCCTTTTTTAAAGAATGGTATAAGACTATCTTTGGAGCCGCTTTTGCTTTTTCTTTTTCATTTTTTTTTAAGATTGAGTGGTACACTAATAAGTGAGAGTTTGAAATTAGAGGTAATTTATGTTTTATATACAGATTTCAAGACATTTGCTAATTTTGTAGTTTCATGTGATTAGTTTCCAAAGGTTACAGATAATAAAGAAATCAGAAATGGTACCTTTTTAAGAATTGCATATTTTTTTAGACACAACTATTAGCACATTAAGAGGGAAGCAAAAAGTTACTGTCTATTTAAAACTGCAAGCAGTTCCTCCTAAATTAACTCCCTCCTCACCTAAACTGTCTGGCTCCCAGGAACAGCCTTATAGAGAGAAAAGGGGAGTAT